GGGGGGGGGCAGCGTCACAGCCTCACCTCGGCGGGTTTGACGTACTCCTCCACGTCCCAGACCTTGCTGGGGGAGCGGGTGACGCCCTTCACCTTGGTGAGCACGGAGCTCTCGGGGCCCGTCTCGCTCTCCTGGTAGCCCTTCTGGATGATGAACACGTACCTGGGGGTGGGGGGAGCTGTCAGGGACATACACCCCCGTTCCCAGGATCCGGAGCCCAGCACTGCCCCCGCTGCCCCCTGGGTCCCCACTGCCGGGGGTGCGGCGAAGGACGTATCCCCCCACCTCTGCCTGCCCTATGGCTGGGGAATCCCAAACGCAAGGGCTTCTCCCCCTCCCCTGCAACATCCCCCCCCCCCGCCATCTTCCCTGCACCGCTGCATTATCCACTCCCCGCCCCAGGGCTTGTTGGTGCTGGGCAGCTCCTGGGAGCTAGCCCCTTCCCATCACCCGTCAGCCTGGGAGCACCAGAAGGGGCAGGCAGAGATAGGAGGCCAGTGGAAGCCAGCGCAGGGGCCGAGAGAACCTGGGGAGCACGAACGGCTGTGTGGGGAGCGGTGACGGTCTTAGGGAGTGAGCAAGTGAGCGATGCTGTGCGGGGGAGAGCGGGGCAGAGAGAAGCCAGGAGAGGGGGTGGCTGGTCTGTCGCCATTGGGGGATCCCGCACACCCCCACCAGGGCTCATCCGTCTGGGTAACGCTCACGCATGCGTCAGGTCTGTCTCCCCAGCCTGCAGGGCAGGGGAAATCCCTGGTCTTTGCAGAGAGACCCTCCCCGCACGAGGTACCCGCTAGCCTTGGGTGAGGAGCCGGCCTGCAAGCCAGGAGACCACGGCTCTAGCCTCAAACTGCCGTTAGTGCTTCTGTGCCCTTCATAACCCTCACTATTAACCGAGCCCGCCTGCGCCGCCCTTGCCACTCGCCCAGGGAGTGAAAGGTGAAAGGTGCAACCTCACCCAGGTAGGGACAAAACCCAGGTCTCTCTAAGACGGGGGAAAGTCTCACCCCTTTGCCTTACAGAAGGAATGTGCCAATGTATGTGCTTGATTGGGCTGTGTGGAACCATTGGCCCTGGCATTCTTATTCTGGGCACTACAAACCAGTATCAGAGCCTTGTAACCACCCTGCCCAACCCATATTGCTAAATGGGTGGGGGGGGCTGGCTGGATCCCACCTAGCTGGGAGGGGGTCCCGGAGGGGTCCTGGCATGGAAAAGGGAGACCCAGTGCAGGATCTTTGGGGCCAGGGACAGCTCCAGGAACTAGGCCCGGGCAGGGGTTCACACTGTAAACTCCTCCAGACTGGATCCGCCCCCGGCGAGGTTTGCAGATACTGGTTCCAGCTGGGTTTCCAGAGACGAGGAAACAAGGAAGGGCGTTGGGCTTTGAAAGACTGCGTCTGACTGACCCTGGGCCTGGAGCTTGTCATAGATTCCCAGGCCAGATGGGACCATATGGCACTGACTGAGAAACGCTGCATGAATCTGAGCCTAGAGCCAGGAACGGGATCCTGGAATCCCGCTACCTACACCTCTCAAATAGCGGCTGTGTTGGGTCCCCCTCAGGCCATGGCCTATTGGTTGCATTCAGTAGCTGGCTAGACAGCAAGCGTCGTTCTGGGCAGTGTAATAGTAAGTGCTTCTTGAGGCCGGGATGTCTCAAGGCCCTGCTAGGGAAGCCTTTTGCCTGCAGGTCTCCAGGAATCCTGGCTCGCTCAGCCAGGATCCAGACTTATTTCTAGCTAGCAGATGCTGGGTGGTCCCTCTCGGAGCGGAGGTGGGTGGGTCTCTGTTCCAGCTCCCCTGTCACACACTCCCCGCCCCGTCCCCGCCATGCTTTGCGCTGGTGAGCAGACTCGGCAGCGAGGCCGAGAACTGCATTGGCCATGGGCTGAACTATGCCATGAGGAAATCGTTTCCAGATCAGCTGGGCAGTGTGTGCGACTGCCCTACTGGGAGATCTCATTCACCAGCATGTGCGCGCGTGACATGGGGGGTGGGAAGGAGGAGAGCGAGTGGGTGTGGGGAAGGATAGTCCATGGGATGGGATGGGAGAGCTTTTAGTGAAAAGGGAAGTGAGGAGGGGCAGAGTACAGAGAAAGTGGGAATGGGGGATGAGAGAGAGGGGAAGGGTCCGGGACTAACAGAGGGAGAAGAAAGTGGTATCAAGCGGAGTGCCCCAGGGGTCGGTCCTGGGGCCAGTTTTGTTCAACATCTTTATTCATGATCTGGATGATGGGATGAATTGCACCCTCAGCAAGTTCGCAGATGACACTAAACTGGGAGGAGAGGTAGATACACTGGAGGGTAGGGATAGGGTCCAGAGTGACCTAGACAAATTGGAGGATTGGACCGAAAGAAATCTGATGAGGTTCAACAAGGACAAGTGCAGAGTCCTGCACTTAGGACGGAAGAATCCCAGGCACCGCTACAGGCTGGGGACCGACTGGCTAAGCAGCAGTTCTGCAGAAAAGGACCTGGGGGTTACAGTGGATGAGAAGCTGGATATGAGTCAGCAGTGTGCCCCTTGTTGCCAAGAAGGCCAACGGCATATTGGGCTGCATTAGTAGGAGCATTGCCAGCAGATCGAGGGAAGTGATTATTCCCCTGTATTTGGCACTGGTGAGGCCATATCTGGAGTATTGCGTCCAGTTTTTGGCCCCACACTACAAGAAGGATGTGGACAAATTGGAGAGAGTCCAGCGGACGGCAACGAAAATTATTAGGGGGCTGGGGCACATGACTTACGAGGAGAGGCTGAGGGAACTGGGGTTATTTAGTCTGCAGAAGAGAAGAGTGAGGGGGGATTTGATAGCAGTCTTCAACTACCTAAAGGGGGTTCCAAAGAGGATGGAGCTCAGCTGTTCTCAGTGGTGGCAGATGACAGAACAAGGAGCAATGGTCTCAAGTTGCAGTGGGGGAGGTCTAGGTTGGATATTAGGAAAAACTTTTTCACTAGGAGGGTGGTGAAGTGCTGGAATGTGTTACCTAGGGAGGTGGTGGAATTTCCACCCTTAGAGGTTTTTAAGGCCCGGCTTGACAAAGCCCTGGCTGGGATGATTTAGTTGGGGTTGGTCCTGCTTTGAGCAGGGGGTTGGACTAGATGACCTCCTGAGGTCCCTTCCAACCCTGAGATTCTAGGATTCTATGAAAAGAGAGTGGAAAGTTAAAGGAGGGAGGAAGAGACCACAACATAGACAGGACAGTAGGAGAAAACGACTATTAAACAATCTAGAAGAAGGCGATTGAAGGGGCACAGGAGTGTGAGAGACAGAGCAGAGCAAAGGAAAGAGGGGAAAAGGAAAAAGAACAATTCGTTTTACTACATTTTTACTAGAGTCAGACAATATTTTTTTGGCAAAGAACCCCAAACCCCAAACCCCAAACCCCAAACCCATGCACATTTTTATTTGAGTTGAAATTTCGGGCGGGGGGGTATGAAAACCAAAAAATGTTTGGGGAAAAGGGTTCCTATTTGGTACAAATGCTCAGTTTTTGATTTTCCAAAGGCAACATTTTTTACCCAAAACCGATTTGTTTATGTTCTTTTACCAGAAATGATTTTTGAAAACTACATTTTTATCAAAAATGTTTTGATCAAATGGAAAACGTTTCAGGTTGGGATTGTCATTGAGAGGAAGAAAACAAAACATTCTAATGGGAAATTAAAACCCCCAACGTCTCCTGCAAACCATAATTGCCTTTTATTCACCAGCTCTCGTATTTCCGGAGTGGGAACGGGTAGGTGCAAAGTGATGCAAGATTTAACCACATTGCAAAGGGCTGGGGCCAGCAGTGTGCCCAGGCCGGGCTGGCTACGCTGCCCTCCTGCCTTGTCTCTACTGTGTTGAATAAAACACTCCCTGTTGGTCCCCCCCCCCCCCCAACTCTTTTTCTCTGGTTGCACCTCTGTGGCTCACCCAGCTAACGAAGTACCTAGTGCAGGACCCTGTCCTAATCCCAGACCCCCGCAATTCCATCATGGGCCAGCAGGACCTCATGGCAGTGGGGCTGGACAGAACCTGGCATCCCCTCCCTCCTGCATCTAACCCCACTCTGTCCCTGCCTGAACCCAGACGCACAGGAAAGGGTTGGACTGCAACCCTTGGGCCAGATCCTTCTCTGGTGTAAATCAGCGAATGGCTCCAGTGCAGCAGAGGATCCAGCCCCCCACTCAGCTCTCTGTGCAGGTGCTGAGGCTGGCGTGTCTCTGACTGCCCCCTCAGCTCTCCCCACCCCATCTCTCCCAGACCCACACGCTGGCTCAGCCGGGGACCTACCAGATGAAGTAGAGCAGGATGAGCAGCTGCACCCCTCTGTACATGATGCCGAGGTTGCGGTTCTTCACCACGAGGACTTTGGGGGTCTCGTAGTTCCAGAACTCCCAGAAGCATCGCCAGCAGCCCACGGCCCAGGGCCGCCTCGCCGGGGGCTCCTCCATCTGCGGGGGGGTCGTCTAGGGAAGCCTCTGGGCTGAGCCTGGGATCTCCACTCCCTCGCCTTATCCTGGGAGAACTGGGAGGGTCCCAGTCCTACAACAGCAGCAGCCTCCCTGTATTGGTTTACACTGGGATCTCCACTGCTCCTCCCCGCTCGGAAGCTGCCGTTATATTGGTTTATACTGGGATCTCCTTTCTCTCCCTGTCTGCAGGTTCATGCTCTGAGCCTCACTGAGCGGCACCACCCATCCCCTGTCGCTCTCTGACGAGGGCACTGTATGCGCTGGGCATCCTCCCCTCCAGACCAGGGCTGGACTAAAGGAATCAATCCCCTGGAGTGCCCGCAGCTGCCCATCCCTGCAGCACTGATGCCCCCTTGTGGCCAGAGTAGATAATCCTGCTCCACACACACAAGCTGCTCCATCATCCCCAATCCCGGAAGAGGAGTGGACGAAAGCTCGCGTTGTGGGTACATGAGCCGACCCAGGTAAGTATAGGCCTGTCAGCCTGACATTGATCCCGGGAAGGAGACTGGAGCAGCTGTGATGGGACTCGATTAATAAAGAATGAAAGGAGGGGGATGTAATGGAAAATAGGCTAATGGAAAATAGAGCCTGTCAAACTAATTTGATAGCTTTTTTGATGACATGTCGCGTTTGGTTGGTAAAGGTACTAGGGCTGATGTAAAACACTTCGACTTCGGTCAGGCATTTGATTCGGTACCACAAGATATTTTGAGCCTGAAACTAGAACAACAGAAAATCAGCATGCTGCGCATTAAGTGGATTAAACACGGCCGGAATGAGAGGTTTCAAAATGTAATTTGAACTGGGGAATCACTGAGTGGGGGTGTTTCTAGTGGGGTCCCACCGGGATTGGTTCTTGGCCTTGTGCTATTTCACATTTTTATCAGTGACCTGGAAGAAAGCATAAAAAATCATCAGTGAGAACGTTTGCAGGTGACACAAAGACTAACGGAGTGGTAAATAATTCGGAGTAATCCCTAGTGTAGACATAC